TTGACTTTTCATTATTTTATATGACACGTGCAATTTATCAGGTGATACGTATATAATATGATAAATTACTGTTTGAGAAAAATTCTCGGAAAAATTCTTGATCCAATGATATATTGTGCTGTACGTAATAAAGTCCAAAAGTTTCTGACACAAGAATTGGGTAACTCCGGTATTTACGCCGCAGAAATCAGAAAAAATAGAAGGAATGAAGGTATTTGCATTGTCTCTGTTGTGTGCCTTTATGCCTTTATTAGTATGTGTTATAATTTCAATTCTTTACTGTTAATATTAACGAAACTGTGAGTTGAATCGATTTCTCAATGTAGTAAGTAACGCGATCATGTATTACGACCTACGTAAAATGATTAGTGTAGGGAATGTAAAAGGTTTAATGGTTTTCATGATATATTTTATTTAATGATACATAAATGTAAAAGGATATTAAGGATAGAATACAAAATATAAGTGCATCTTGTATTTTTTGTTTAGCTTGATATTTTATATATCTCACTTGTTTGGGATAAATGACATTTTTAGCGTGCGAGATTTATGTCATAGTATACATACACTTTGTAAAAATCTTTTATGTCCTCTTATGCCTTCTTTTTTTTTGATCGTATAACAATAACCTTTAATGCATCTATCGTACGTTCGTCTATATATTTTCTTTTTAAAATCTTTCAGTTTTATAATTTCTTTATCATTATTTCACTTTAATAAACTTTTACACGCGTTTTTAAAAAGTTTTTTTTGTTAATTACAAAGAATAAATATTTCATATTTGTAATTTTTTAAAAGTATGTAGTAGAGAAAATAAAGTTTTTATTGGTATAATTTATTTGCCCTCTACATGAAAAGTGATAAAGTGAAAGAACTATTTTTATTTTTTAATACATTTATCTTTCATTTAATTTTTTTTACTAATAATACAATTTGTTTGTACAACTGACAAATTATTCTGCATTTTTTCCGTTAAAATGGTTATGCAATTGCACGGAGATCATTTCTTTCTTATTGCTAAAATTATTCTAGAAAGTTTATTGTCTGTTTACGTACCTCTATACTCTGAGATGACGCTCCACAATAACATATAACGTTTCCATTTGGTTATATGATTTATACCTTTCTGGTTTTTACAAATTCATGTACTGTATTGCACGTTCAATTAAACACAGGCATCGCAAAGACGGCAGGTTGCAGGCACCGGCCGTAGATGTAGATGATATTACTATAAATGCTGACAGGAATTGTACAACCTATGTGCTGTAACACTACAACATGTTTTTATAATTGTGGTATGTTTATATGTGACGTCTTTGCTAATAATTAAAATGTTCGTGTAAAAAGTTGTCAACGTATATTTACATATTCCATACAAATGACAATATATTTTAATTATTATGAAATATGTATAT